TCCCTACGGAAGAACGGGCCACCTGCGGCAAATTCTCTGGCATGTCGTATCATTTCCTGCCCAAGAGCCAGGTGTGGCAGAGGAGGAGGAAGATGTATCCCTTGGCATATTGACACAGATTTCTGTCTGGTCTCCGGTCTCATAACTCTTTACCTTTTATAGCTTTAAAATTAGTTTTGTTCTACGGTTTTTTTCTTTTTGGCAATCAGTCTTAAACATCAATTATATAGAAGTGACAAATGGCCTTTGTGTTTATCCATGGCTTCATGCATGACCCATTCCCATTTACTCTGCTCAGAAAACATTCAGGCACGGAAGTGAGGAAAGAATCCCACACCAGACACGTCACCTCAAGTACCACACAAGATACACAAACATCTTACATGAGAAACACTTGGGAACAGCCTTTGCCATCACACATGTGGACACCTTCGTACAAAGATTATTCTTGACTGAGGAAAAGAAATATACAGTCATTGGTTTCCATGCACATTTCAGGAACTGATACCGTAGTTCTTAATCATGGTGGTGAGAAGAGTCATTGTTTGTCATCGTGTAAGTTTCCCCCCAGCACCTCCATATCCCACACCTAGAGAACAGAACGTGGCACGTGACAGAGTTTCCTAAAGTAATTATTGAATAAATATTTGACTTCTGGATCCATCCACACTCAAAAGGGATAGATCACGTCACCTTCCCTTTTAAGAATTCATTGTTCGAGAAGGTTCTCTTCGAAAATTAAGTGCAAAGAGATTCAGAACCCATGGGGCGCCATGGATAGAACCATCTGTGGTGACTTCAGGGGGTACTAGTCACCTCTGCAGCACTGAGGAGGAGCACGGAATAAAGACAATGACACTTGAATGAATGAAGTTGGAGGCATCATTCCAAGAACTTTAAAATACTAAATTAAAAAACTCAGCTGTTTGAACTCAAACAAAGGCTTGAGCATGTTCAAGCCCATCCATCAGAGACATAATACAATAGCCATTCGAGTAGATTCTTTCCACAGTTGAGTCGCTGAGGACCTCGGTTATTCAAAGTCGGGAATCGAGAGGCCAGGGTGTAATAAACAGCCTACACTCAGAATGCCATATCCCCAACCCGATGTTTCTGACCTCTCAAGGACACAAGAGGGGGACATCCTGGGGGATGTGGACACTGGCCCTGTGCGGGTCTGCTCTGGAGTCTCAGCTCAAGCACTTTGGTGAAAAAATCCAGATGAGGTCAGGCAAGGGTCAGGACTTTATATAATTGGGCAAAAATCCTGAATTTGATTACCTGTTATCTTTCTGGTGTGGCATTTCTTTCTGATATTCACCCTTAAGGGTGATAAGACATTCCTCCTTCTTCCAGTCTTTTTAGCTGGGCAGAGATGAAAGTTACCTTCCTGATTAGTGAATCCACTCTGTCATACTTGGAGTCACCCAGATATTCCGTGACTGGAGGCTTTATACCATTTCCAAGTTTGATTTTTCCTTCAGCCTGAAATGTCCTTTCTCCACCCGCACTGTCAGTTCATTTCTACCTGTCTTTTATGGCTCAGGGACCACCCTCAACTTTCAGGAGGCCTGGGTGAGGCACCCCACCAGAATTTGAGGCCCCATAGCACCCACCCACCCCCACTGAGCTGCCTCCGCCTCACACGTGGACTCAAGCTGCTTGCCTGGGGGTACCCTTCCTCGGCAGTGACCGACTTGGTGACCGTTAACTTTAATTTCTGTACCCCTCATGCTTAAAATGTAGTAGTGTCGCACAAATGTTTACTGGGTGACCGGTTGTCAGTAACTTTGCATATGTACATTCCAGAATGTCAGGCCGTGATGACAGGCTTGCGTTTGATGAAACTACATTAAATAGTGATTCATTCATGTGTGAGAGAGCATTTCACGCACAGCCTCAGGAAGCAGAATCCACACTGATAGGAGCTTCTGCTCACAGACCCCGATGGTGAGGATTTGGAAGAAATGGCTTTAGATTTAAGATCAAAGATGTGACATCTGGCAACCCCTCAGAAGGACAGAACTTTCCAGGTGGGCAAAGCTAAAGGGTGCTTATCTTTCTCTTAAGGTTTGCTAATGATGAGGGAGCAGAAGGCAAGCTGAGGACAAAGCATAAGCTGACACCCTGCAACCTTCCCCCACTCCTGGGTGGGACATGTGTGACATTCTTCCAGGAATCTCCCAATTAAATGTTAATACCTTGCTAGAGGGAAAAACAACCTTAACTTGACAATGGCGAGACCTCTGGTATTTAATAGGTATCTTGTAGGTCGGTCCTCTTTAGCATATGAAAGTTCTTTTGAAACCTCCCTTTTCCTTACTTCTGCCAACTCAAAGTATATCATCAGCCACTCCTCAAGACCCTGGTGCGCAGCTCTTTCTGCCCAGGGGTCCTGTCCCCATGCTTTAATAAAACCACCATTTTGCACCAGAGACGTCTCAAGAATTCTTTCTTGGTGGTCAGCTCTGGACCTCACCCCACTGAACCTCGCCTATATTCTAAAACCACATCACTAAGGCTTTTGTGCCTCAGAAGCTGGAAGGAAGCACATACATCACAAGCCAGGGTGTAGACAGCTACCCCCAGGATTCCAATGGCTATCTGTCCCTCCAGGGAGGACTGGCTGCCTGAGCCCCAGAATCCTGACCACCCCACGAGGAAGGCTGCACATTCCTGCCCACCTTCCTCCCATGCACATATGGGACCCAGGCACCAAGTAGAATGGAGAAAGGGGAGATAAGAAAAAAAAAAAAGAGTTACTGTGATTGGAAGAATGGATCTACTCATGACGAGATTAAAGGTCAACAAGTGGATTAGACTGGGGGAAAAAAAAGAGAGAACCTTTTTTCGCCCCATCGGGGTTCTCTTGGAACTGAGCTACCATAGTGCATGCAGTGGAGGTTTTCAAAGGTGTGTGGCGGAAACAGCCTTAGAGTGCTAGTGAATCGCCCCGGGGGCAGGAGTGGGCGTGTCTGTGCTCCCCCTGCCTTCTACTGAAGGGAGCAACTCTAGTCCAGTTTATTGGAGTGGCACATTTGATTTAAATAAAGGGTTCTAGGGGCACCTGGGTGGCTCAGTCGTTAAGCGTCTGCCTTCAGCTCAGGTCATGATCCCAGGGTCCTGGGATCGAGCCCTGCGTCGGGCTCCCTGCTCTGAGGGAAGCCTGCTTCTCCCTCTCCCACTCCCCCTGCTTGTGTTCCCTCTCTGGCAGTCTCTCTCTCTGTCAAATAAATAAAATCTTTTAAATAAATAAAAATAAATAAATAAATAAATAAAGGGTTCTAATGCTTCCTTTTTTTTTTTTTTTTTTTTTTAATTTTATCAGTAGTAAAACTTGCCAACTGCAGAGGTTTTGTTCCTCGTTGCCCTTGCTGGCACATTAGGCGAGGTCAAAGTCTCATGGCAAACTGGAGCTGCCGTCCAAATAAAGGAAGTAGCCTATGACATATCACAACAAATAGAAATCACCAAAGTTCCAGAGCAGAGTTGTTCGAGAACTTTCTGCAGGGATGGAAACCTTCTCTCTGGGCTGTCTGGTACAGGAACCCCTAGCCACATGTGGCCATGGAGCACTTGAAATGTGGCTAGTGGGACTGAGAACTGAGTTTTCAAGATTGCTTAATTTTAATTATAATTAAAAATTGAATAGCCTGTGGCTACTGTCCTGGATGACATGGCTTCAGAGGGCACTTCCCCCCCAAACTGACTTGCTCTGGCATTACCTTCCTCAGTTTATCTCAGGAGCCACGCAGCAGACACAGATTCTAACACGTTTCCCATTGCATAGGCTGGGCACCTGTCTTTAAAATCCAGAAACCCAGCCTGAAATGTCATTTTTACGTGTAATCTTAAAATTAAATTTTGTGCTTGCATTTGCCTCTGGTTTTGGGGTCACAAGATCCTGCAAAATGCTTGTGCGATAGGTTGCCCTTTCGGCAAGGTACCGAGAAGCAACGTCTCCTCTAGACCACGTCTCCCATCCGTACAGAGAACGGGGAGCACTCACAGACTTCTCCTCTCCGCCTCAGTCCCAGAGCCCTGTGTTCTGTGGGACAGAGAGGATTGCTCAGGATTTGTTCTCTTGTGGGGGTAAAACTGAACTGAAAAGCTTCTATCCAGAGCCATCATTCAAATTAGAATAGAGGCTTTTCAGCTCAGCCCCACCCAACAAGCTACCTTGGTGATGTCGCTCTTGGTGACGTTGGGTGAGTGGACACTCACTCGGGCTTTGAGAAGAGCTCTCTCCCCAGACGACCTGCCTTACCTCCTGCACCTCTCATTACGTATCAACCCCGATACCTCCCTGGACATCATAAGCTGGGGTCCTCCAGGACAGGAGATCAGAAACCATCTCCCACCTCCAGGCAAAGCAGCTTACAGCTGCGTAGGTGGTTCAAGCAGAAAGACTAAGAAGACCCATCAGCTGAACTTTGATGGACGTCTCTAAGCACAGCGTTGGGGGAGGTCTACATTTAGGAAACAGGAGACTCGCCTAGTTTGTATTCACAGTTGGCAGAAGCAACTCAGACTTCCCGGAACAAATGGCTTTAAAAGCATTTTAGGGATGTGTGTAAATGCTGTCCTACTTTAACTGACAGAAAACTCAGAGAAAACCTCTTCCATCTGCAGGTAAAAACAACACGGCGAGGTGTCCCATCAGAACACAGGCTGATGTGAAGCTTCAGGGGGACTGGTTGGGCAGGGCAGCTCCACTGAGCTCCACAAGCAAACTATTCACTTCTAGGAACCTCAAGGTATTCTGGCTAACATGTTTTCTCTTTGCCTTTCAGCAATCCTAACACTGACGTGCCGGGTCGCCTATCTATCATTGACTAGCCCTTAACAATGAGATGCAGAGAAGGCATGTGATTCTTGGCTTTGGACAAAGGGAATAAAATATCGTCCTTCACTTGCAGTAACCCCTTGGGTCTCCCCCTCACTCATCCCCCCTCCCCCGGAGAGGCCAGGGTCCCCTTGCCCTTGGGCTTCACACTCACCTGTGCCCCGAGAGTGGCTGAAGTCACCCTTCACCACGCGGCACGTCTTGCCATCCCCGCTGCAGACCCCACACCGGTCTTCCTTGGCCGCGGACCCGATGATGCCATCACAGCCAATTTTCTGAACGACCAAAGGGCTGGGTTATTCCAGGTTTAAGACTAGAGGGATTTTTCAAAGAGGATCTCTGCAGGGCTGACTTCTCCAATAGGCCCAGCAAGCGTGGTGCCTGGGATGCACCATACTTTTGGAGGCCCGAGAAAATATTTTATTTTAAAATCAGAAGAGAAAAAAAAATGAACAGACTCCAGCTTGTAGCATATCTGTCTTTATAACCCACATAGTTGTCACACATACTTTTTATTATTTGTTAGGGAAGAGGGGGCCATGAAGGCAAAAAAGGCCTCAGAAGTCCCGCTGAGGCTAGAAGCCTGACCCTTCGAGCACTGCCTGAGGAAGAGGCCAGCCTGACTCCCACACACCTTCCAGGGTGGCTACAACTTCACAGGATTCACGTTTCCTTTGGAGCTGCACGGGGCACCTCTATCTTGGTTGGAACAGCCCGCAGAACAGGCTGGAGAAACCACCCTGACTTTTCTGTTGAGGTCAGGAAGCCCAGAGCTCATTCAGACACGGCTGGGAATGAGCCCCCCATTTCTCCATTGAGACCTAGCCCAAGAAGACCCCTGTTTCCCAAACCTCTCCAAAAAGGCCTGGGTGAGGTCAGAGAAGAGTAACCTGACCCTGAGTGGCTCTGGGCAGCACAGCCCAAGGCAGTTCATGAAAAGTGAGAAAAAGCTGTGAATTCTTGTTTTTCCTTCAAAAACAAATGCATGAGAATTTTATATTCTGTAAAACAACATACTTAGCTTTATAGTAATATAAACACCGAGTATTTAATTGTTTACTAGTTAAATTGCTGAAGTTCCCCTCTCAACTCCCCCAACCCCTCCAAGTGAGTACTTCTAGAACAAGACTGAGTTTCCTCATCGCCCTGCATTAAGGATTGGTGCTTCAGGCCATGATGGAGTCAACAGCCAGATAACTCAGGCCAAGGTGATTTTGCTCCTTCCCATGATGCCTGGATGGGTGCTAGAAAGCTGCTTCTCTCCTTGCACCCCACTCTAACAGGGCAGGGCATGGAGCAGAGCTGGCTGAACAGCAACTTCCTCTTGGCCCCACGGCTTACACCTTAATCAGAATCCTCTGCTTTGTGATGGTAGTGTTTTTGTGTTTTTCCCTTTAAGATTTATTTGAGACAGAGAGTGAGCATAAGTGGGGGGGAGGGGCAGAAGGAGAGAATCTCAAGCAGACTCTTTGCTGAGTGTGGAGCCCGATGAGGGGCTCGATCCCATGACCCATGAGATTACGACTTGAACCAAAACCAAGAGTGGGACGCTTAACCGACTGAGCCACCCTGGCGCCCCAGCACTGGTTCTTCAACAGGAATGTGTGTCCACCTCTCCAGGAGGGCTATCAAAACAGACTGCTGGATCCCACGCCCAGCGTTTCTGACCCAGCACGTCTGGGTGGGCCTGAGGATGTGCATTTCTAACAAGTTCCCAGGTGATGCTGCTGCTACTGCTGGTGGTCAGGACCACCCTCGGAGAACCACCACATTATGCGATGCTCTATGAAGAGTAAGTGTGTGTTTTTCCTAAGCAACAGTCCCAAAGTCTCATCCTGGGATCCTTTCATTTCTTTAGGGAAGAATTATGGGAAAATTACTGTTGCGTGTCCAAAAACGGTAGCATAACTGAATACATTTCAGTAAAGACCTGAAGATCTGCTAAGTGCTGAGCAAGGTTAGTCCAAAAATGACCATTAAGAAAGAGCAGCATTTGGAAAAGAAAAGTTCAAATGTGTTCAAAGTAGTAGAAAGACAGGTCAAGGGCAAGACTGGGGGCTTTAGCAGCCAGAGGTCAGGCAAAGGAATGAATGCAGGCAAGAGTACCTGAAGGAGCTGGGGAGATTTAGGTGACACGTGGAGACCCAGGTGGTAACTGGCACAGATTGCAACACCTTGTCGGGGCAGGACACCCAAGGGTGGCCCGTAGGTAGACCAGCTGCCACAGGGTACCTAGAACCAGGAGCGGCTGAGATTCGTGATCTGGACTGCTGGCTGATTGTTGTCCAGTTGCTTGATACAAAATGATGCCGGCTAAGAATCCAAGGCAGCCAAGATCCAAAATTTTGCTCAACCAGCATGCTCAGCAAAGGCTCTGGAACCAAATCCGTGGGGCCACACGTGTGTGTGCTGCCCATCTATATTGTGCCTGTGTGTTCAGAGCTCCAGGCTTTTTCTGGCCCCCTAAACCCTGACCCCCTAAGCCCTGACCACTGTCACGTCACCCTGACCTGTCCACATGTGGCTTCCCCATCACTCAGGTGCTTTCAGGTCTAGACTCTTCCTTACATGGGCTTCCTATTTTCTTTTAACCATACTCCCACTCAGCAATAGTGGGTCTCTGGCTTGGCCACCCACTCCCTATCTGGTTCCTCAGTTGGAACTGCCTGATTAAATGCTTTCTAGATGTTCTAAGTTAACATCCCACTCTACCCAGACAGCTTCCCTCCCCAGCCCCAATGACAGCACCTGACAAATCTGAGGCCATGCAGTAAACTGTCTGGCAGGGCCAGGAGCAGTCCCTCACCTCTTGTCTCCCAACCCTGGGCCGGCTGGGTGTCTCCCCTGATTATCCTCAGCCAAGGACTGGGGATCACTGGGAGAACTTCTGGAAAGGGTGGGGCTTCTTCTGAAGGCATGCTGGGTTTGCAAGAACGTGTAAACATTCAGAAAAAAGGAGCTAAAGGAACAGGAGAAACGCCATCTGGGGGGAAAGGGAATGTGAATGGAGAGTCTGCGCTAGGATCTCAAAAGGCCTTCTGCAGCCTGGCTAGGAGATCAGGACGAGGAGCAAAGGGTGTGTTTGCAATCTGCCAGAGCAGGAATTCACCCAGAAGCAGAAAGGACAGGCATCGGAGGTACTTCAGGAAGGAACAGGACAGGGACTCAATGGGAGGAAGGGCCCTTAGGAGAGCACACACTTTCCTGGACGAGCAAACCACTTCTCCCCCAGAGTCCCCTGAAAGAAGGAGCTTGGTGAGAAAGAGACAAGTAAGGAGGAAAAATCTTGGCTTAAGTGAGCATTTGCGAAGCCCCCACACAGCCAGACCAGCACCAGGTGCCTTAGTGGCTAACCCTGGCAGATGCTATTGCCCCACACAAGCAGAGGCAGGTCAGGGGGCAATTTTCTACCCCTCATGAGATTCTTGTCATGGCTCCTGAAGCACCGCATAAAGAACATGTACACGTGTGCATGGCAGTGAAGCCCCAACCAGTACCCATTTAGACCTCATAGGATCCAAAATTTAAGTAGATACAATGTTTGGAGTTGATTTCTTTTTTTTTCAGGGATGAAGTCCAAGTCAGTCGGGAGCCCAGCAAGGCCTGATGTCTGTGGGGCTGCTGGGGCCTGCTGGGCCTGCATGGAGGTAGCCCTTGCCTCTTTTCTGAGAGTCAGGGATGTTTACAGGCAATCCCTGGGGGGCCCATCCTCATCAGCATCTGGTCGTCTCAAGAGGCCAAATAAAGTACCCAAAGAGTGTGGGCTTAGATCTGGATCTGAGACACCGGGGGATCCTTTCTGAAACGTGGCCACCTGCTTATTTTTTGGTTGGTCATGGGAGCTAAGATTAGTCTATGAAGATGGTATGCCCTTTTGGACAAAGCCTTGCTCTGGATAGCCTAAAAGGAACAACTCCCCCCAGTCTGACCAGCAATGGTTAATTTCTAGGGTGGACAGAAGATCTCCCAGGCCAAGGGACACAAGATCACCCGGGGTGGCAGTTCTCCAACTCCAGCATGCCAGAGTCACCTAGAGGCCTGGACAGGTCCCCCATTGCTGCGGTGGGGCCCAAGGATTCATCATTTCCAGTGAGTTCCCAAGGTGATGCTAGGGGCCCAAGTCATATTGGGAGACCACTGTCCTGGGTTTGGCAGCTCAGAGATAGAGACCCTCGTGGAGACAGCCATTGCTGTCAGATGCCAAGCCTTCTGTGTCCTGAGGGGGCAGTACCTATGTAACCCTCCCTGTCCACCCCCCCACCCAATCCCCCCAAGGGCCCCAGACATGAATTCCCACTGGGGAAGTAACTCCTGTCGCCTCCATCCTCTGTCACCCCTGAGCTAAAGCAGTTCTGGGCTGAGGCATCCTGGAGGGATGTGGGGGAGCCCAGCTGAGCCACGAGGACAAAAGAGGCTGGCTCCTCTCTACTCTCAGGAAGCAATGAGAGCACCCTCTTACAATGGTGCTCAGGGTGAGTAAACGATCCATGGGAAGATCTATCATAACAGAATGTCTAGTTACAAAACCGCAAATGCCCTCAACTGAGGGTCTCACAGATCACCTGGATGCTGTTCAATCCTTCTACTCACAGGAAGGTTATACTTCTACACCTCTCCACCGAGGAAACAGAAACTCAGATCTGGAGGCTTCAACAGCCTTGCTTGTAGGATTCACATTCTCTTATGTGTTAAATTGTCGAAGACTGTATACAAGGGGAAACTGCTCTGTTATTTTCTCCTCTTTCCCTAAGCAGCATCTTGTTTCCATTTTAAAAAATCAGCTTCTTTTGCTAGGACTTCACCTCTAAGAACAAAGGTATCCTCAGACATGACTTCAAATTGTAGCTAACTGCCTTCTGGATCAGGGCTAAATTACCCAGGCCGGTAGGCCACCAGCTTCTCTTCCCTAAATGTTATGCTCAAGGTTGTGGTCACAACGCATATCCTGAGGATAATTACATATCTGGATATGAGCCTCAGTTTCCCTGTTCTTAAAGCAAGAGTAGTAACCTCAACCTCAGAGGTAAAAAATTACCTCTGCTCTGGCTCACCACCTGGGGCCCTGATGACAGGTGGGTGCTGTCAGGACAGATGGAGACTGCACACAGGCCAACTTCCTTCTAGGGGTTTGGGGGACAGCTACCACCTGTCTGAGCAGATTGGGGCTAAATAAGGTAATTGTCCTCTATCCCTTTTTCTTCCATGGAACCACTGCCCTCTCCAAAAAAGGAAGAGCGGGAAGGAGAAAGTAGTCAGGACCACATCCTTCCCTCTG